TCTTTTCTTTACAATAAGGCTTTCAAATAAGTCATGGTTGTACGGCAGTGAAGCATCGGTGTTGAACACTGATGTCATGCTGTCGTTGATGATGATGATGATGATGACATCCAAACATTCACGTTTTCCCTTCTCTTCCCTACCCCAATAAAGACGTGAATACTCTTACCACAGTTCCCAGCACTAGGACTGATCGTTTTGCTCTCCATGCACTACACATCTGCAGTTTATGTACCTTCGACTTCGGTAACAACCGTAAACATTTCGGAGCCTGTTTTCAAACCCTGAAATTTTGTCTGTTTAGCCTGAGGCGCACTGAGGCAAGCAGGACAACGAGCTACTCTTGCTCTCACACTAGAGTCGCTTGACATTGATGTGTGCCGTAACTCAGTGGTTAGAGTTCGAATTTACTGACCGGAAGGTCTGTTGTTTGAACCCAACATCTGCATCACGACTTCTCCTGTCTAGGCTTTGATAACCTGGCAGTACCTCAGCCGTCGTGCCTCCTTCGGGTAGCATGAAATCTAGGCACCGAAAAGGTGTTACAGCCGAACGATTATATCTTTTTATATTGCGTCAGAAACAAGAATTCAAGATGCAAGCACATTGGTTGAGCTAGTCACCCCATCACTGTCCACTCGCTACCGGTTGCACACCTCTGGCAATCCAGAGGCTGCAGCGACGGGCTGTACGGGGGTTGGTATCGTCCTAAATCACTGGGCGGAGAGATACATAGGGTGAGGATCACGAGTTAATGGTCTATGCAAATGTATGGTTTACATGGTCTTTCAGTCGTTCAGGTGTAGCACCCTTTCGGCGCAGCTGTAATCATTACACTATACCACGACCTGCTTTCCGTTAACGTTTCTCTGACAATCGCTCGTAACGGACAACACCCCTTTTGATGGACCCTAATTGAATTTAAAAAGAACATATCCCAACCACCCCAATATGATAAGCTTAATCGACTGCTACACAGTCGAATTCAGTAGTAAGTACCTGCTTATGCATCATTTCGTTGCGTACTCGCCACACCCAGGTTGCCCTTGCTGTGCCACAGAGACACCGTGACGAATTACTTGGAGACGCCTAAGGTACTCGGATCGGAGGAGACAAGTCCCACAGTCATAGAGTAACGCCGCTCTTGTGGTTACCTTGTATGCATGGCCCATGAGCTTCAGGAAAGTCCGGTTTTCACACCACAAATGACGCATTTTGGCGAATGCTGTCCCCACCTTGAGTATCCGTGCCTTAATTCCATCTAATACAGTACGCTTATGAAGCTGCCAAGATCAACAGACTCATGCTCTTCATTCTGAAGTTTTAATGGAGTACAAGGGAGTTGGGTACTTTGAAAGTGCAAAAGGCACTCCGAAACACGGGCTCACTTCCGTTCTGGTTAAGGTATTTTTCGCGGACAGCTAATCGTCAAACAGCAAACTATGCCGTCCGTGCAATCCAAATCAATCAATCTCTCCTCATATTTGATTTCCATAACTGGATTCATATCTCGAATATCGTAGCGACTGAAACATGAGGAGGCCTGGTGCAGCACATTCAGTTACCTGAGTACATCACAAACGAGAGATTCGGCTGGGTTCCACGTGAGTCTCTCGAAAAAACAAATTAGTTTGCAAATGAGTGTATATTCGCTAGCTTCATAATCCCTTGAAGTGTCCACTGCACGGTGAATTCGATGACAAAATTGGACAAACATGATCAAAGGGACAGCCATGGTGAAATACATTAGCTGTCAAAAAGCCTCTAGCATTTCTTTTCAGAAGAGTTTGTTAAACAGTCAGTAGTTTTTTTTACTGAGCAACGTTTCTCTTTTGTCACAAAATCTTCATCAGGCTAAGTGAGCAGGTCACCAAATTGGCCAGATTTTAAGGCTGACGGAGAACCAGTCAGTAATATGTCTTCATAATGGCGCACTAGATCGGTGTTGAATGTAAATTAACGGCTGTTTTCGGTCAGTATGGTTGATGGGTTGGGGGAGTTACAGGTTGGTTCCGATCGGATTTAGTTCCTTAGTCTCCCACTTCATAGTGCTTCAATTGATGATTCACTGCGGGTGCCACTGGTAGATTTCGTTGGTCTTTGTGGACTTTGGAGTGTTGCGAGGGAATGTGGGTAAGGTTAAATGGAATTCAGATTATGACTAATCCGTCTGATGACCGCACACCAGCACGTGTCAGCTCGACTTATCCAAAACCGTTCTGCACGCGCTTGCCAGTTCCACGCCTTCTACTCTGTTAACACTGGAATGCTTGGCGATTTCTACCGCCTCGGCCATCAGTCCCTGTGACGTGGTCCGTAGTCCTCGCCGCAAAACCTCATTTTCTAAATCTATTTTGTGTCCCGTGTCCAGTGCATATTCTGCCATTGCTGGGTCTTTCAGTAACATTCGATATTCATCCGCGTTTCTCGGTGGCCTGCTCATTTTTTCCCTGTGTTCTCCGATTTCAGTGTGAAGTTCCCTGGCTGTCTGTCCTATGGAGACCTTAGTGCAGTCGTTACACTTAGTTTTGTAAACACAGTCCCTGGTTCTGTTTGCCTGGAGGCGGTCGTCCAATTGCACCAGTGCAGAGTGCCATGTTTCCTCTCTGGAAAGCTACTCTTATGGCAATTCATTGTACACCCTAACCCGACTCGATGTATGGGAATGAAGTGTGGGGAAACCTTCTCACAAATTTCTGGAGCATACCCTTCTGGAAAATTTGGGGGGGGGGGCTAATATATCAATCTATCCGGTGCAAATAATTCCAATCGTCATTCTGCCAGAATAATCCCTGGTTTTCAGTAATTTTGCGCTTAAAACCTCGTATTTGTCACACTCAAATATTCATTCAGCGTGGCAGATGAGGTGTGTACTAATTTTATCTGTACTGTTAGTGTCTCCTATTACCAGCTGTCGTTTACTGGGGCAACTACACATTCACGTATAACGGTTCATGCTTTCAACTGTATCTCGTTTTGGTTCACTTGTGCGCAATCACGACTTACAATTCCGGCAACCTGAAAATATCACTATTTTGGGTCTTAGTCGCATCCAAAGACAATTTTGTGGAAGCTAGCCAGCGAACGTAACCATCACAACGCTCGGCTTGGCAGTCTGCGCCCTCATGTTGCGTTTTCATTTTATGCTCTAACTCCTCCAGCAGCTTTTTTCTTCTCACAAATTTCTGGAGCATACCCTTCTGGAAAAATTCTTGGGGGGGCTAATATATCAATCTATCCGGTGCAAATAATTCCAATCGTCATTCTGCCAGAATAATCCCTGGTTTTCAGTAATTTTGCGCTTAAAACCTCGTATTTGTCACACTCAAATGTTCATTCAGCGTGGCAGATGAGGTGTGTACTAATTTTATCTGTACTGTTAGTGTCTCCTATTACCAGCTGTCGTTTACTGGGGCAACTACACATTCACGTATAACGGTTCATGCTTTCAACTGTATCTCGTTTTGGTTCACTTGTGCGCAATCACGACTTACAATTCCGGCAACCTGAAAATATCACTATTTTGGGTCTTAGTCGCATCCAAAGACAATTTTGTGGAAGCTAGCCAGCGAACGTAACCATCACAACGCTCGGCTTGGCAGTCTGCGCCCCCTTGTTGCGTCTTCATTTTATGCTCTAACTCTTCCAGGAGGTTTTTTTGGTCGGGGAGACACCACTGCTGTCACACATGTCCTAATACTGGCACACATGACTGTATGACACGTTTACTGCAGCCTAATTCTCATGTTTTCAGGACCATACGTTTTTGGGTAAACGCTTATCGTCCCGAGAAGCTAGCAACACTTCTCGGCCGTGAACTTATCGTCCAGTAGTGGCGTTTACTCGGTTACTCACCCTCCCGTTATCTTGGAATGGTCGTTTGGTAGCATTGGCTAAGCTCAGGAACTAAAGAAGTTCCTATCCTAGTCGAAAACGAACCACCTTTTTTCACCTACATTTCACAGCAGGTATCTATACGTTTGCCATAGTTCGTCATGCCTCACTGTAATGTGGTTTTGTTTTCAGATGCCTTTTCTATCGTTCGCTCGTCGCTTGTCCTTCTATTTGCCCAAACATACAAAGCGCCGTATAACTTGGCGTGCTTACGCCCTTCTTGTGAGTTTCAACTTTGTAAGGTAGTCTACGTTGCTATTGGTGGTTCTGTTCTTCACCACTAACGGAAATTATGATCAACACCTTCCGAATCGTAAATGGCTATGCTACTTAAACTCGCCCTTTTTCCAAATGCAGTACGTCAGTTTTTAAGGATAACCAAACCTTTTTGTCAACTGAGAGAAAGAGGATAAAGACGATAAGTTCATAGGTCATACATTTTATTACTTGTTACAGAGCATTAGTTTTATACTGAGATGCAAGGCACTCGGAGGCTGGTATCTGTTTCGAAATTTACCTGCCGCTTCAAGTGAGTGGAGATTGGTGTGTGGACCAGTATGAGGGCATTTTAACCAAAGGACTAAGATCGGAGGCAAAACCAGAAAACAGGTCTAAAGCCAGCGCTATGTATTGCCGATAGGTTTTGACTGTGAAGTTAGGTCGGTGCATTGTAAGTACACCGGATGGGCTGCTGGCCCAGATCATTCGTTAGTCACACCAAGTTCAGTCGTATTTCGCTAATTAGGGTGAAATATGATGCAGCCTGTCCCGAGTTATTGCCTCCCCCTATCACAAACTTCCGTGCCAGACGGATGCGAATTAGTATGCTCTATGTGCTGTATGTGTTCGATTCCAGTGGTCTTGTTTTGTCACTGTGATGACACTGCCCGAACGCCGTACGCGCTACTTGGTTGTTTATTAATCATCGAGTCAACCCATTCCTTAAGTCCATGTATCTCTGCAAACAATAAGAAATTGGGGATTGAAAATTACTCAGTTCAAGGCTCAACTACCCAAATCTGACAGGTGTGACAAATGAGAGTCTAGACCCGATAATATTCTGTGGGACGTGTTCTGCAAAGGAGTGGGTATATGTGAGGAACTGCGACTTACACACGCCATGACATTTTGAATTAAGATTGCATAGAATCAAAGACCGGTGTCGGACCAAGGAGAACTTGACAGCATGTAAAAATGTACTCTTTTTTGTTAGCTTATCGCCGTACTGCGGGTAAACGTCAGTATTCTTGCGGTTGTTGATGTTGATCGCAGTACCATCGCTGACCCTACGGGAGCCATATGTGGTTTGCCACGCCGTGCCACCCGAAGGAAGCAAGAGAGCTGGAATACTGCCAGGGAGAGTCGAGTTCGAACCACGGACCTTCCATTCAGTAAATTCGCTCTCTAACCACTGAACTATCTCGGCCCTTATCTTAGACAAGTATGAATCTTCAACGTGCATTCAGAGGTTGCATGGCGAATATTCGACAGAATTTCGAATCCCCGCCTACTCTGATTTGTTATCCTTTGTACTGTGTTCCGGACGGCGCTTTCTTCATTTCCAAATATGCCACTCGTGTGCATGACAAAAGTCATCCTGTAGCCCAGATCATGGTCGACCATTAATTCTTGCTATCCGTAAAGATCAGTGTACCGAGAGAACCAAAACCCATCAACTGCCGTCATTGGTGAAAAAAATGTTTTTCATGAGATAAGAAATTACGGTAGAACTGAGACGCTTTTGTGGAATAAGTCATATGTTTGCGAAACGACTTTTGATTTATCGTCTTTACCGAACTTTGAAGGTCGATCTTGCAGGAGACCATGATCTGCTTTTCAGATGAGTTTGGCTATTCTGGGAGCGATGGTTCTGTATTTAAAAGCCTTCGTTTTACGAAACTAGTTGTGTGCTAAAACTGGTGTCTTTCTTTACCGAACTTTGAAGGTCGATCTTGCAGGAGACCATGGTCTGCTTTTCAGATGAGTTTGTCTATTCTGGGTGCGATGATTCTGTATTTAAAAACCTTCGTTTTACGAAGCTAGTTGTGTGCTAAAACTGGCATCTTCCTAGTATGGAACAATTCTATCTTTCCGAGAAATACTTCCATCTGAACATGACAGGATACTCAGTTGAATCCACCTGAATCTCTCGTTTATGATGGTCCGCTTCAGCTGGATGTGCTGCACCAGACCGTCTCATGTTTCAGTTAATGCGACATCGCAGTACGTCTAGATAACAGTTTTTCATCTTTTTTATGTATCGATTTCCATCCTGAGCCCACGAGATTGGCACGGCTAATCTGTACTTCACCTATCTCTTTCCCAAGGAGGTTTGCACCGGGAGAACCCATAAGCGATCATAATTACAAGTCATCGATTATGGCTGACGTTACGTAGAATTATGTTTAGTTGTTTTTCGTAGATTGCCACGCTGTGAGCGAACCTCGCAAGACTCTAACCTGCGGACACAATGATGTGTACCGAGTTGGATTCTCAGGGGTAAATTTTCAATCGAAGGCATTCTAGAATTTCCTATCATTTTTGTCTTCAGACAGTACAGTAGCATCCTAATAACATTTCGCGTTTCTGTATTGCAAAAATCTAGGTTCTACCGGCGACGTGTTACGGGCTTGGCTATTGGCAAGTTCAGCGACGACGTTGGAAGCTTAACCTACTGGATCAACTTGATCGAACCATTGCGGCTACTCCAGTCCCTCTGCCGTCGACGTAAGCGGTTTTTCTCCTCCTGGTCTAACCATTAGTGCTGAGGCAAGCACAGACCTTCCAGAGTACAGTCCCGTAACTGTTCGTGGATGTTTTGATCACTCACGGGAACTTCTGATCGGTCCCCGTCCCCTGATTACAGATTTCATCAAACCAGGCGGTTATGGTAGTGAATGGTGCCTTCCTCAAAAGCATCGTCCCAAGTCCTTGTCCCAAGAAGCATCCTCTGAGCCTCCACCCCCGTTTGGTTATTTTATCGTAACTCCTTTTTTCCTAGAAGGTCGATCCGGGTAGGTTTCTCCTTCACCTTTTAATTTGTCCTCTGTTCGTAGGACCAGTATTTTAGTGAATCGTGGTTGGGTCCCCGAGTACAACCGTGATCCTGTTTCGAGAAAGCAAGGGCAAGTGAGTTGCCGTATTGGTAATTTCCATTTTTCGAAGACCGTGGAGAATCTGACCTGGGTCTAGTGGACATGATTGGTCCGATCCCCTTTTCGGTGCCTTATAATAGGCTACTAACCTCTATCTCGATTAACTTTAACTTTGTTTTTTAACGATAACTACACAGCAGTGGTGCGAGTTATTTTCCTACCCATTTTGTCACTCATTCGGACGTCTCGCTTGAATTTCTCATTAAAGTGACATGCCTGGTGGACCTGTTACTGTATATGCAGATTGAAGGCTAAATATTGTCCAATGAAGCGCAGCTGTGGTAATACCGATTGCCAATAAGCATGTGAAAACATCGTACAGAAAAATGGGTGACTTATCGTTATGACTGACAGCATGCTTAATGGCACTTCCAGCTGAGCCATGAGCAATTTTATTCAATAGTGCTGTACTATGCTGCTGTACCGTACAGTACCTCTTTATACCATATCTTTTCAGATAAAAGGAATCGTCGAACTCTCCGGTTTCATAAGGTATCCAGAAAAGGTGAGTATTCAATTTTTACGAGCTCGTCCGTACTTCAAGTGATTTTCTATTCCGTGTTTTCCGTTAGTCACGTTGCATCGGAAAATACTGCTATTCGTTGTGGTATTGCCTAGAATCACCAGCTCTTGCGGATCCTAGTGTGTCCGCATGTGTGTTGTGCCCAGAGACCGAGGTTTTTCTCAACGGAATATCACTACCAGGCAAAACTGGACCCATTACCGAAAGTTGGTTTCATTTCTCCGTCAACACAGTGCACGAGCAGATGAGTAAGTGCGCCAGAAGCAGCCCCAATGAGTTGCTTCTTCCTCCGCGTGTGTTCGCGACTTTTCATCAAAGCAGCAGCCGTAAAACTCACGTACGTGCTGTACAGTGCTTCCAGCTGCCAGTTTCGTCCACCGATGATTTGAGGTGGTGGGGTAAGTAGCTGCGCATTGGAGGCGGGAGTTGGTAAATTCGTGCGAACCGAAGGCAGTCGATCGGGCGAGTAATACTGGGAAAATATGCTGTTTACTTGTCCGCTGAGCACGCACGGTCATGAACGAAAGCAGTACATCCATAAAAAGCCACCCCATGATGTTAGTTGCGTGCACCGTAAGGTAATCTGGTACACGAGAACCGGCTGAAAAGGTTCAAATATCACCAGTATCTTGCTGCACTGTGATGAAACCTCAGAGAATTCCTTCTGAGACCCTTTCACTCTGCTAACCAGTCGCTCAACATACTGGCCACATCCACTTCAGACGCAGTGCTATTAACTAGACCCTATCGTACTTTGTGATCCTCTACATAGCTCACCTTCTGGCCGACCTGGCATTATTGCGTGCGTCGAGCATTCTCATCATCTCTGATGATCTTACTTGGCATTTTTAGTCATCTATTGTTTATTTCGCTTCACTTGAAGGTGTTTAAAGCTTCGTTTGAATAGCCTACCACTACACAGTCGTTCGATCACCTATCTTGCCGCAATTCCCGCTCCTTTGCACTGATTTTCTCAACCACCAGTGTAACGGTGATACTACTGATGTGGGGGGGCATGCGAGTAGTATGTTTTCTTGTAAATTCGCTTTGCGTCTCTTGAAAAGGGAATTTGTGGAATTCGCGGAATTTATGGAGTCACTTTGTAGCATTTGCTTGGGTTTAAGCAACAGTCAACGAATATCCAGGAAAGTTCAGAAAGATGCGTTCAAAGAGCGAATGGATATTCAGTTTTTGTAAACAAGATGCATATGAGAGTTTTGCTTCCCCGTCCAATAGTTTGTAACTATTCAGTAGGCATTTTCTAATAAGTAGCTCCGCAGCGAAGGCCTTCTTCCTTTTCATCAGTATCCAATTTGTGGAACTTCATCTAGTCGCGTTCGAAAATTTTTGGCGGCTTCAGTATGACAGCATAAACGGCTGGTTCTGCATCCTCTCAACCCCTTTCTCCAGCCATCAATCTTTGCGATGAAATCCCCATTACTCCAATGCGAAGATACAGAACATCAGGTTCCACATATTCAGTTCAGCTGCAGAGATATTGACAAAATGGCGCGGACTTTCGGTACGCTGCCCCTACTCATCGATGCCAATTATGGTATGTTTGCAATCGCTTTTTTCGAATCATCAAAATATTTATGTTTCAAATTAGGAAAAAAACACCCGACTGATCTGATCCCTTCAATTAGCGACTCTTGGGTTTTACAAACAATTATGGCATAAACTAAATCAGGTTCAGTGCACTATGAACACAGCCTTAAAGTATGGCAACCTTGATAAAACACCCACTATCGTTATTTAGTATTTATTATTGCTATTATCGTTATTGTTTTTATTAGTGGTGGCCACTCCATAAACGAGGCCGACAGACGTGCTAGTAAGCTGACTATCTACCAATGGGGTTAACCTGTATCACTGTTTTCTTTGCAGAGTCCACTGTCGCTGATGGCCCAATCGGAGGTCAAACAAGAGTGCAGTTGCGCAATGAACACGCCTCGTATATCCTCACTTGGTAAGTTCCTACGCGCTTCTGCCTCGCCTGGGTAAGTAGAATTCGGCAGACCAATGAAAATTGCTCTCGCTGCACCAACACAGGTGTTATCCTTGTATGTCCTATCAATAACAGTGTGATAGACTCTCTTATACCAGTGAGTCGCAACACTCCAAAAAGTCGTGTGCTCATCGTAGTAACACTTTTTCTGAGGTTAGGTCCTCTAATTTCTGTTCACTTGCTCCGTACCACACGATCACTTGATTACAGCTCTAGTTCATTACAACATTCATTCTTGCTCGACGACGTTCATTCTTGCTCTCTCCCTCTCCCTCTCTCATCTTAATGGTCCCGATGAACAGAATGTCTTCGGTGTCCAACCAAACAGTTGGTATGGGGCAATAATTTTGTGTTTTATTGTCATGGCTTTCCAGTGATTCACTGACCACCTCTCTATATACCGTTTTCAGGGTCACACGATCACTTGATTACAGCTCTAGTTCATTACAACATTCATTCTTGCTCGACGACGTTCATTCTTGCTCTCTCCCTCTCCCTCTCTCATCTTAATGGTCCCGATGAACAGAATGTCTTCGGTGTCCAACCAAACAGTTGGTATGGGGCAATAATTTTGTGTTTTATTGTCATGGCTTTCCAGTGATTCACTGACCACCTCTCTATATACCGCTTTTTTCAGGGTCTCTCTTGGGGTTGCTGGCACGGTGCTGTGGATCAATTACTTTCTTTTGTGATTATCAGTCTTACTACTCGCAAAACTAGCATGTATACATATACTCTCACTTGTTTGTTGTTTTGTTGCTTCAAAAGTGGGTAAGGAATTTCAGTAGCATGAGAAGATTGACAAGGGTTTTTCTCTGACATTGGCCGTTCGTTCTTTTGCTCGACCCACGTAACGGAAACACTGGCAAAAACATCTCTTCGTACTGGATAGAATTGTTTGCTTCTAGAGAGCGTCTGCTTCACGCTTTTGTCTCTCCATACACGAGCATTTCTCCGACCAACAGACGCCCCTTTCCATTCCGAAACGCTTGGGTGCTGTCGGTGCTACTCGCCTTCCAGGATGGGGACCGCGTGATCCTCACTGTGCCTGGTTGGAGACACTACAAGATATGGCTGCCAACCGATGTCAGTGGCGTTCTTGTTGTCAGTTTCTGTCCAGATTGCCTGAGTGAATGTCTGGAGGTGTAGGCACCTCGGAATGATTGTGTTAAGCTAGCACTAAGTCCCTTCCCCGTCCACCTTTATTCTTTTCTTTACAATAAGGCTTTCAAATAAGTCATGGTTGTACGGCAGTGAAGCATCGGTGTTGAACACTGATGTCATGCTGTCGATGATGATGATGATGATGATTCAGCATTCACGGACAGTTGCCGTAAAATCTGGTGTTAATCTTCATGATTTGTTCCAGAGCACTTGTGATAAGTTGCAAGGGGCGAGATAGCCCAATTGGTTAGAGCGCGAATTTACTGGCCGGAAGGTCCATGGTTCGAACCCGACCTCTGTCTCTCGACTTCCCCTGTCTAGGCTTGGGCAACCTGGCAGTATCGCAGCCCTCGTGCTTCCTTCTGGCGGCATGACAGCTAGGCACCGGAGTAATGTTACAGCTGAACGGTTTTTTATGTCCCTCTGCGTCCGAGCCGTCCTAATATTGCGTAAGGTAACCACCACAAAATCAGATTGGCCTAATATTGCGTAAGGTAACCACCACAAAATCAGATTGGTTCTGGGGACTTCACTACACACACAGTCTAGTTAAATGGTTTTCAACTCAGTTAGTTAGTTACGTTTCCTCGTTCTACGTGTTGATATTCGTTGTGATATTAAGCTAGAAACCGGATATGCTTAGCGGCATTCCAAATAAACTGATATTTTTACGTGACAGTCATCAGACGAAATTACTCAGCAGGTGTAGCCATTGGAAACTTGAGATAGTTCTGTGAATTTTTCAAGAAAGATGCCTCCTAAAAGTTCATCAGATCTTAGAACTAGTAACAGTGTCAGCTAGTGTCGGAATGCTATGGCATTTCAGTTCCGCACACGAAAAAGCCATTGTCATGCTGGCTTTTCTTGGACTGCTTTGGAAAATGCCGTATTATCCATGCGCCCATTCAGACACGTTTATTCTTCCAATAATTTCCACGGACAAACGAAATAGTGGTTTATCTGTTGGGAATGGGCTTTAGAGACGCATTGGGAATGTGCAGATCTTAGTTTCTATATGAAAATGTCGCATCCGAGATGCTGCCGTTGATCAAACTGCAGCCTACTGATCATTACTGCCCCTGTTTTTCGTGATTTCTCCGATCATATTCTGTATCTTTTCAAAGAGTGGCGGAAATGACATCCTGACTCTTCACCTACCTATTAATGCTTGTTAGCAGTGCTTCCATAAGTGCTTACACGCGATCCGTGCTTCAGAAAGTTTAGCCTGTGACTGTTTTGGAAGCACCCAGAAATATGAACCGATCCGTATGTTGTCTTACACCGCAGATGTCCTGTGATGAGTTCTTTGTAACCCCCAGCCAAACAGGCCGTGGTACAGTGTAATTCTGTATGAATAGGGCAGAAAGATGAACAGGAGGTAGTTTCACGACACGGAGCTAGGGCAAGTGGATGGAGGAAGTCTGGAATGAATTGGAGCCTATTCAGAGGCGCACGCGCACCGGAATAGTGGTGGGTGTATTTCTTCTTGGGCATAGAACTACAAAAGGTCCTTGTTTTAATACCCGAATAAGAGAGTGAGCCCTACAATGTATACATTATGTGGGCTGTTTTTCCGCAATACTCACTACAACACGCTCGATCCCTCTGAAATTGACGGTATACAAGGTTAGTTGTCCGATACGCTCCATGGTTTTCTCAAGACGCTGCTTTACCTTGCACACACGCGACAAAGCGGACCAATAACGTGTCGAAGCCAGTCCACTGCAGTTGGCATAGATAAGTCCCCAGGTATAGACATAATACACTACTTGCAAGGTTGCGGAGTAGTGTATTACCTCCATGTATGTATCGCGATATCTCGAATGTCATACCGAACGAAACACGAAGCAGCCTGGCGCAGCACATTCAGTTGCTTAAAAATATCATGAGTGCAAGGTTCATCTGGGTTCCAGATGAGTCTCCTGCAAAACTATATTGGTATGTAAATGAGTGTATTTCGCTAAAGTCACCAGGTAGTTCAAGTTTGACGGTGAGCTAACTGACGGTGGGTTAACTGTTGGATTAAAGAGTGCAGTCCCCAGCATTAACCACTCCTATGTCTATTTGACATTGCTGTACCAGCTACCTTAGGTGATGGGTCCATCCAGTTATCCAGTAAACCGTTAGTTCGGCAGTCAAGAATTTCGGTCCATTATTTGTCGTGTAAGTGAGAGCAGTGGATATCCGTGTGCCGATAGTCTGTCACCCGGGGTCTGTTAGGAATTTAAGTCTGTCACGAGGAACGCAGTCAAGCTGCTAGGTTTGTGTTTTATCCATGCTTGACTGGGCCACTATCTGTTCGTGTGGCCAATAGGTCCACTTTGCCATTTGAAGTTGTGTTGGTCGTCTCTCGTATGCATGCTTTCCACCTACGTAATTGGTTTCCCTCTATATTGATTGCTATATTTTATCGAATCAAAAGTATGGCATGATTCAAGAGAGACTCCCAATTCCCGCAAATCGGTGCCGATCCCTAGTCGCAGACCGAAATTAATTTTCCCTAGACCGGCATTTTTTAGACTGATACCCCTGCAAATGTTATGTTTTTCAAGACCGCGTATTTTCAGGTGGATTCTGCATATGGTAATGCATATATGACTTGGTTATACCGGACACTGTTCAAAAGGCGGGCAGCTTTGCCAGCTACGCATTTGGCAACTGTTGGGGCACTACACAGCCATCTTTCTCTTACTCTGTTTTTATGCCTTTGTCTTCAGTTCACCTTAATTGAGGGTAAACTGACTGGCTTGTTATCAAAGTGACACTCATCCGGAATGATTACAAAATCGTAGCGTCAAAATAATGTGATGAATGTTATGATAGTATTTGTACGCGTGAAGCTCGTCGACGTCACCGCATACTGTATAGAGCAGCACATCAGGACCACAATCAACGTCAGCAGCAATAATTGCAGGTGTTCTCTCGTTTGTCTGCAGGGGTAGGACCAGAACTATTTTAGGTTCAGTGTAATCGATCAACAAACCAAATTTCAGCACAGATGTTCAGCTAGTTGACCAACTCAAGGCCGCTGACATGAGGTTTGTTATTTGGTCACTGATGAACGGGTATCCTCTTGCCGTACGGCTGTAAATAGCAGAAACTTCGCATCCAATTCTGTGTTGAATCGATTCACTCGTTCAGCTACTGATATACCGTGAGTAGCTTACAGTAGATTCATCTGCCTTCTCGGCACCGTTGACGGTCCGAAACTGGGGTACGTGTGCGACGTTTCACCACATTAATCTTGTAGTCATCGAAGTGCATTGCGAGATTCATCATACCTTGGTGCTTCGCAAACCATAATGGTTTCACGAACCGTGCGATACAACTATTTGGGCAACCAACGAAACCAGAATGCACAAATAATCCAGCGTCAGCTTATCAGTTTACTTACTACGGCTTTAATTGTGTCCATAGAACAACAAATCCGAACTGACTGTGGAGAGAGGGAGAAGGAAATTTTCCATTAAAATCACGAAATCTGACTTCCGTTTGGAGCACTTCAATGACAATACTAATAGACGGTATTATCCATAAGCCGTACAGTGCTTGTGAGGTGACAGCAAGGTGTTGAATCACCTTGCTCCGTTTTTTTAGCAGCATTTGGATGGAACATCCGGGAATCGGTTGACTGTGAAGGTTTGCGATCCGAATTACTGCCTAGATCATCGTAACTCAATCCTCTGGACTCTTTTGTTTGAAGACACCTGAAACGCGTGGTCCACAAGAATAGATCTGGAAATTTTGACCAAGAGACACAAATTTCTGACCATGCTTCATGATATTAGGCGAACCCCTTTATTTATTGATCCGGTGTTGGACAGTGTGATACGCATAATGTTATACCTATCGACCGACACCACATATGCGAGTGTTTAATAGACCACGAGATGTCCGAAGGCTTCTGCGGGGCCCAGCAACCTTGAACTCACTGGGTAAGTGACATTCATGACCAGCCGATTCAACCAGGTGATCACAAGCACACGAAACCTGGGGAAGAGAATGACACGAACTATATTTCGAGTACGCTTATTCTGTTTGATGCAACGCACCGACTCGGTATTCCGACAGCTGAGTGGATGAATCTAGTTTTGTAGGAGTGCACAGTTTTCGGTGGATATATTGTTCGCACTATCGGAATCGTACTAGTTAGAAGTCTGTTTTCAGTCACATGGTATTTCACGCACCTGATCTCAAGTCACTCAAGGGATATAGAAAAATCAATTCAGTGATTTGGCTCTCGATCCGTGTGTTGAACACCGATGAGACGCAGTGCTAGAAGCAAGCAAGGAAACTTGGTCAAGTTTGGTGAACATCGACTGTGAGGAAAGTCGGGAAAACTTGTCACTTCACCGTAAATTTCACCATGACTTTCATTTATCTGCCACCCACTGAATAACTGTCGTTCGATTGATAACTACTATAGTGATACTGATAACGTCCAAGTCATCCTATTGCATTTTTCGGATTTATCCAAAGAAAGACTGTTTGCACGTGAAGAAATTTTACCGGTATTACATGACATTGACAAATCTGTACAAACCAGGGAAGTGTGCTTGGAACTCCAAGTGTTCGCCCATAACAACCACACATGGCTGTCTTCGGAAGCACCTAGACTGTTGTCTCACACCCGCTCACATTCTCCTTCTATAGCTTGGGTGTTCCTTGCTTTGTTTTTGTTGATGCATTAATTGAACCATCCATGAACTAAAAGTTCAGGGGGTTTCAGGCCCGGGACCCAGCCAGGTGGCTTCCAGCCATGACATTTTACCCTGTTGGTCATAGATCAAGTGGCTTCCAAATTCTCAAAGTTGTTAGTCTGGCATTTTGGAGAGCCGTTCTGTAGAAACAGTCTTACCTGAGCCAACCACATTCACTTGACGAGAGAATCACTTGGAACCCAGTTGAACCTCTGGTTTGTGATATTTTGAAGTAAATGAATATCCTGCACCAAACCGCTTTAAGTTTCAGTTGGTGCGGTATTTGAGATATCATGATACATTTATAGACGTAATACGCTACTCATAAGGTTGCTGTGGAAGGGTCTTCAGCGACCTCGTTAGTAGTGTATTAAGTATTTGCTCAGCTTCTCTAGCTGCTAATTAGTGTTGCAGCGATTCTTGTTTGCTAAAGTTACAGTTATCATAAATGGGACGTTAGTTATAACACTTAATTTTTATATTATACGAAATGGAAAATGGTTCGACGACATTTCTGATTAACTCTTTGTTGAACACAGTGAGTGACGTCCCACAATTGGTGGAACCTTAGAATCGGCTCGTGTTTTTGTTTTTTTCACAAAGTATTATCCGCCTCGTTAAGTTGGTCACAACTTCAAATTTTTAGATCAAATAGCGTTCCACTGAAGTACAGCAAAGTTTATATGCTCTCACAGCCTCATAGTACTTGAGAGCTTCTCGGGCCGCTGCTTTCCACGCAAATCTCTTTTGTTCTTCGATCATTTAGATAGGAGTTGCTTTAAGTGGTTTGTAG